AAAGGAGGGAGAGCAAAAGAAAGGAATGCACATCTGGGCTAAATATTTGTTAGAAAGTATTCCCAGGATAGTGGGAGTTCTGGTGCCAGAGAGGAATTCCTGCGGGTTTGATCCATTGCATTATGTACTTGTTCCAAAAGCTGTTTTCAGTAAAATAGATGAGTAAGAAGTCTTAGCCAAGAACAGAATGTCTTTTTTGGCAACTAAAAGGAAGATAGGATTATTTTATTTCAGGTTATGTAAAGAAAAAAAAAAATAAGAGAAAGAGAAGGTGGTAAAATCCTGCTCTCTGTGGTGCCTGCAGAGATTTGCAATGGCAAGCACAGAGATACAGATATATGTATGTATATATATATTTTGTTAGGCTGCTGTGCACATTGCTGTGACATCTTTGTAAGACATCAACATGGATTTGAGATTACTTTTAGAATGACTGCAATTAAAATATGCTCGCCCTGTCTGAATTGGCCCCTGGGGTTTTCTGGCTGAGTGGCCAGCAGTTTTGGTGACATGGCTTTCAGGGCAACATCCAAATTGCTGCTGTGAATTCTGCTCCCAGGTGCCGGGGCAAGGAGGAGAGGAGAGGGTTGTCATTGCCTTGGCAGCGAAACCTCTGCCTGGAAGGTTATTTTGGGGTGGATACCAGTAGACACCGATGGGTACAGCCTCACTACATTCCCTATAGCTCCTGACAAGGATTTGAAAACTTCACCTGGAAAATGTCACAGCCATAAATCAACAAAGAGGGGGAAGGCTTTGGGGGGGGTGGGGTGGGGGAATAAATGTGTTTTGGTGGGTGGGCAACAGGTTCAGGAGCTTTTTCCCATTTATTGAGAAACCTGTTTGCACGACATCTACTTTACATTACCAAAACAATGGGTGTTTTGAGTAAGCATGCCAAAGATGGTTATGTTTTTTTCTTTCTATTCTTTTCCTTTGGGCTTATTCTGGTAGGTGGAAGATGTACACACCTCCCTTCATCCTGCCAGACGTGGCTAATCAGCAGTGATAGTATTGAAAACAAAAATACAATAAAATGGCACTGTCTTACACCCAGCTTGCCTTGGCTCCAGCTTGGTGGCTGTGTTACTTCAGTTGGCTCACTTGAGGAAAATGCTTCGTTTTTTCTTCCTGTGTGGTTCTGGGGGAGGTGATGTGGCTCGTGATGGGTGTTGTTGGGTTTGCAGGTGACCTGAGCACTGGGGCTGCACTGCTCTGCAGCATCACCACGTCCACCTCCGTGCTTTGCCAGGAGTCCTGCAGACCAGGTGAATCCCAGCAGGAACAGAGGGCACGGGTGGGTTGGTTTTTATCTTTTGGTCCAGACCTGGGAGTTTTCCCTGTTTGAGTGGTGTGATCTTGGCTGCTCCACCACCCTCCGGTGTCTCCCACGAGGCTTGGATGTGGTCAGCATCACATCTCTGAGGACGTTTGCATTGGACATGTGTCCTACAGGGTTTTCAGGGAGCTGTTTTCTCCCATCCGTGGCTAGACAGTGGCATCCTTCACCAGCAACATTGGAGGTGTCCTTTGGAGCAGCAAGTGGTTGCTCTGTGGCATAAACTGATGTTCTTTCAAGCCACGTGGGATTTTTTTTAAAAGTTTTTGGTTACTCCAGGTGGACAATAGGATCAGCTGGGATAAGGAAACCTCTGCCTGCAGCCCAGGCTTTGATTCAGACCCCTGCCATGGATTTGGAGGGTTTCTTTACTCTTGTTTTTTTCTTAAAGCAAATGTGAGACAAGAACAGAAGGCACAAAAATAAATGAATAATAACAATGAAAGGTGTGTAAATGCAGCCAGGTACCTTGTTTGGGCATTGTGGCTGCCTGTGAGCTCTGCTTTGCTGGGGTGCAGGCAGGAAAGGGGTTAATCCAGGTGTCAGGTAGGACATGTGCTGCTGGGGCTGGAGGGTGGCCAAATCCACCTTCTCCCCATCTGTTTTGGATTAAGGCCAAAAAACCAACAGCCCCTCCGTGGCCAAACCACCTGCAACTCTGGGGCTGCCGAGGAGGAGGAGGAGGGATGAAGGGGATCACCACTCCCCAGCCTTCATAGGTGTGCACTGCAGTGAATGATTAACTTCTTCTGGCTGAGAAACTGCTTCATCCAGGGATTTTTTTGACCTTTTAGGGGACTGTTGTCTCCTGGGAAGCTATTGGTAATCATAATTAAGGAGGGTTGGTGCAAGGCTTTGAAGGCACCGCGTGTGCCCCCACCATCGAGACACTGAAAATCCCATCGTTTGGAGGTTTTGGAGGCAGTGTAGTTCTGTGTTGCTTGCTCAGGGCTGTCAGGAGGGTGGGTTTAGTGGTTTTTTTTCCTTTTTCAGAAACTTAAATTAACTTCAGACATGCAAAAGAGGGTGAGAAAGTGCTACGGTTACGAAGAACAAATTTAGCTGCTGGAGGAGTCTCAGCTGGTGGGTCCCCATCCCCAGTGTCTGGCATGCTGGTATCTGCACTTTCACCATCCTGGGGCTGGATGTGTCTGTCCAAATGTTAGGGATGCTTTAGGCTTTGTGTATTACCTCTGGTTTTAATTGAAGCTCATGAAGCTGAGGCTCTCCCCTCCCTGCTGGAGGGAGATTCTGGGCTGACGCTGCGTCTCTCCCACCGTGGTTTTGCCTTAAAGCCCAGTAGGGTGGGGTCAAAGCAAGGCACTCCTCTGGCAGCAGCCTGCTTCTCAGCTTTGGGTATGGCTCACTGGTTTCAAAATAAGGTGGCAGTGACTTCTACAGAAGCAGGGGCATCTAGTGTGGTGTTGCCAGCATCTAAAAGGAGAAACAGTCCATTGTCTTTGCAAGAGCATCCCACATGAGGTGATCTCTGATATGCATTAGCTTGTTGTAAGCAAAGGGTGTAGCTTTTGTGCAATGTCAGGAGACAAAAAAACCACAAACTTTCCGAAAGCAAAGGTTAGAAGATGCACCCAAGTCATTTTTTTGGTTCTTTTTTTTTTTTCTTTTAAGATGAACAGGGGAAATGCATGCAGGAGATTTAGGAATCTAGGCAAATACAGAGCTCCTTTGTTTTTAATTAGCTGCGTTGTTTTTAATTGCTACTATGCTTGATACATAACCCAGCCTAAACAAGAATAGCTTATTGAATGGGGGACTGACTATGAAAGGCACCGTGAGGAGAAGGGCTGTTCTTCACAGTTGATATATTTGTATTTCAGTGCTTCATTTAATAAGTCTGTTTCCCCGGGGGGCTGTAGCGAGTAAATCATGCCAACAGATTGTTCTCTGCAAACTGGCTTATTTTTGTAATTAGCAAGACGTTAAAGCTGTAACTGCATAGAAAGAGATCTGGGGAAGGAGTTAACGCAGAAGAATTAGTAAGCAAAATGTAATACTTATTGTTTGATAACATTTGTGTTGATTGGATTGCTTTCCGGACAGTTTCTTGCCTGCAGTAAGTTCTTCTGCAGGGTCATAAAGCGGGAGAGAAATTCAGCAGGTGTGCACAGCGAGGGTAGTAAGGTGTGGTGTTTTGGGGGAGCACTTTTTGGGAGTTATACCCACCGTGGCCAGGTGGGCCTGGAGGAGAAGCCTTGCTGGGGGTTGAAGCCATCCTGCTCATCGCCAGAAGCTGCCACTATTTCCCGTGCTTTATGCTGCTTTTCTCCTTTGTTTTCCAGTTATATGAAAAATACGTCGGCACCATGAGTGGAGTATTGAAAAGGAAGTACGAAGAGCTGGGGGATGACAGTACCTACTGCTCCTCCTCCTCCTGCTCCCCACTCTCCTCCTCGGCATCCTCGGGCTGGGAGTCGGACGAGGAGAGCTCCCGTGGAGAGCCCAAGCCCTGCTCTGCCTTAACGCCCGGCTTCACCCGTGAGTACCCCAACAGCCCCTCTCCTGGCCTCTGCACTGGTTTTTGTAGCCTGGTGGTGGGTCGTTACCATGCAGAGAGACCCCCTTGGAGCCCACCTGTACAGGTGGAAGCAGCCATAATGTCAGCTCCCCATTGTTACACTAATCTATCTGGTTTCTATAATGAGCCCACACCTCAGGGTAGTCTTCCTCAGCCCTTCCTCCCAGCATTTATCATTCCTTTATAACGTTTTTGCCAAAGTCTGAATTTCTGGGAATAGAAGCCCAAGGACCAAGGTGTGCAGAGGCACGTGGGTGCCTCCAATCCAGTGCTGTAGGACCATCCCACAATCCCTCAATCCCCTGTCAACCTATTCCATTGGCAAAAACTAAACAGACAGCAAAGGCCCATAACGCTGGTTTTTAAGAATGATTAACCAGTAGCATAATTACAATTTCAGAACTCGTTTCCTACGTAAGTTGGGTACTTTGCCAAAGAACACGACACGTTTGACATTGCCTCTGCTGTTAGCACAGATAAATGCTGTTTTGTTTTCCCAGTAATATCAGTTTTGAGAGCTTTTAGGAAAACACACAGAAGGCAAGGTTGTAAAATCCTTTATCTGTCACATGAAGGGAAAAATAAAACATACAATAGGGGAACATCTTCACAGAGGAGAAATAGTCCAACCTAGTAAATTATACTGAACACCCACTGTATGTAGCAGTCAAGGTCCACTTAGCAGACATACACAAACACGCCGTGCTCTGAAAAGGCTTTAGAAGTCTTGTAATAATAAAGAGTCTCATTCTTGCTTGTCTTCCCAGGTTTTGTGACAAAACAATGAACTTTTTGTATTCTCTGGCTCAATTGGAAAAGGGTCAGGAATGGGAAAACAATTTCAGAGGAGGGGTGTGGGGAGAGAGAGGCAAATGCCAAAGTGCAGCAGCTCAGCCGATAGATGATCACGGTGGTTAACTCGCCTTTTGATAAAGAGCTAATGTTTTAGAAGATTGAGTCAAGGTTATTATGAAAATGCAACCCCAGTGCAAAGATACCATCAAAGCGACTGCAGAGCCCAGTGTGAAGCCCTCAGCTATTTAGCAGAAGCTGCTGATGCAGCTGGGGGAACGCTTGCTTTTTTTTTTTCCATATGAAACTGAAGTGCTATATTTTGGCAAGTGAAACTTGTGAAACGTGGGTGCAACTAACTGTCCGGTCTTGCACTTTCCCAGCCTTCAGGGCCAGCCAAACCAGCCGAGCCCCTCTGTTTTTCAGCAGTCCTTTTTTGGTTGGCTCCCTGCAGTAGAGCTGCCTGTGACTCTGCCATCCAAAGAGCGGGATCTCTGCTCTGCAGGAGTCACCCATCCTTTCTGGGTTGTTTTTCCCCCATATTTTCCATGGTGGCAACCAAGACGTCCCTGCACAAGGAGAGGATGGGAGCAAAAAAACCCACTGTTGAATTTGTGTGTAGCTGACTCTCATCCCTGCCGGGCTCATGCAGCAGAAAAAGCAGCTCTGTAACCCAGTACCGCTGCGTTTCGCTTCACTTTCCGTGGCCCGCTGCGCTCGTGGAAACTCACTGACTCTGAAACCACCCTGCTTAATTAATCCACCTCCATCTGCCACGTTTGCACGTGCAGATGTGCAGAACCAGGTATCTCTGGAGAGGCTCCGCTTTAAACGGTGTCTAGCACGTTTCAGCAGTTTGAGATAAACCAGAGTCATGTATCGCCATGTTTACCCGGGGATCACCTGCATAAAGATTAACATCTTTGCAGCTGCTCTCGAATGAGTCTCTGGAGAATAAGCTATAGATTCATAGTTCCTCCCAGTGGATGGTGGAAGGAAGTACCAGAAGACCAGCCGTTTTGGCTCTGTGCTGCCCTGCCACAGAAACTGGAGCCACACTGGAGTGTCGGTGCTCCAGCATCCCGGGAGCTCCTGAGCGTGGGGCAGGGTGTGTGGGTTTAGAGCAGGACAGGCCTGCAGGACGGTTTGTTGCGTGTTCGTTATGCTCTGCTGCACGGGGAGAATAAGCAAATACATGTTTCTTGGGGGAAGTCAAGCAGAAAGGAGAAGCAGCAGCCGTGTTTTAGGGTGAATCTGATCAGTGACACCGATGCATCAGGACTTGCCTTAATTTATTCTCCATTCCCATCCCACCTTTGAAGTGTTAGATCCTAGAATGCCAGAAACCATCAAGTGATGTTGTAACCTTGTCCTGTCATGTCCCTGTTGAGAGAGCAACTGCAAGTCCTGCCTGTTTGTAACATTTACAGCCTGTTTGTAGTATATCCACCTTGTCTGCAGGGTGGCAGTACTGACTTTCTGCTTTTTTTTTGTTGTTTTCTTCCCCCATTTTTAGCCACGTCTATCCTGAAGAAATCCAAGCGGCTAAAGAAGAACAATGTGGAGTTTGACCGGGTCACTGTGTTTTACTTCCCACGCTGCCAGGGCTTCACGAGCGTGCCTAGTCGTGGGGGCTGTACCCTGGGGATGGTGAGCAAGCACAGCTCCTCCCGGCAGTTCACACTAGCAGAGTTTTCCAAGGAGCAGGAAAATGTTCGTCGGAAGAAACTTGAAGAGAAATTAAAAGAGGAGAAGTTGGAAGCGTTGAAATGGAAAGTGAGTAGGAGCATGGGGCTGGTGGATGTCGTTAGTTAATTGGCCAATTTTTAGTAGGAACCTCTCTGTGACCTGGGGGCATTGGTTCTTACCCCTCTTTGGGTCTCCAAAAATCACAGACTCTGGTGTGGGATTTTCAGCTCAGTTCTCAAGCTTTGAAAGGCAATGGAAAAAGCACTGAACTCAACATCAGATGTCTGTCAGGTCTTTGGAGGTTCTGACACAGATGTTGGTCTTGTGGCCAGGTGCCACAAGGGGCAGATCTTTCTTCCTGCTCCTGACCTGGGGGTGCCAATGGCTCTGTGACCCCCAACAAGTCCCTAATGCTTTGCCCAATTTTTGCCCTTAGCTGACCATGAACGGCACAAAGGAGTCGGAGGAGGCCAACCAGCTCACCATCGAGGACATCTCCGACGACGACATCGACGTCAGCAACATGGACCTGGAGGACGGCTTCTTCCTCCAGCCCTACCCCGCCAAGAAGAGGCGGGCGCTGCTGAAGGCCGTGGGGGTGAAGAAGATCGACAAGGAGGAGAAGCGGGAGCTGCACAACATCCGCCTGTCCCGGGAGGACTGCGGCTGCGACTGCCGGGAGGTCTGCGACCCCGAGACCTGCAGCTGCAGGTTGGCAGGGCTCAA